ATATATATGGGAGCTATATCTAAATCTCAACCATTTTGAGCCAAATTCGACACACTTATTTGCAGACTAAAACCAAATCGAGCAAACCAAATTTCATCGCAATCCGTTGTATATTACGGATTTTGTACCTCTTAAACCTGAAATCGGATGAACATATAATTGGGAGCTATATCCAAATCTGAACCGATTTCTTCCAAATTCAACAACAACCATTCTAGTAACAAAAAAATCAGTTGGGCCAAATTTCATGACGAATACTATGATTTTGTTGCCATGAATTTTGCACAGAAAAAGTGATCATTTGACCTATAGTGCATCGTGACGTTAATATGGCGGTTATCCCATGGCTAACTTTTGGTGGGAAGATTTGACATAAGTTTTCACATAATCAAATATATTAAATGACGTTGTACATAGTCTCTCTATGAAGTCGTATTTATGTTAAGAGATTTAAATTGTGCTTTTTTGCGATATAATGGCTGCTTTCCCGACAGAACCTTACGAGTTTTTTCTTAATTAATTTATATATTCCCATGGGGTTTTGTTGGGTGTTTTAATAACGATCTGTAAAATCAGTTTTTAATCGGAAACTGGTATTCATACCTTTTTATACCTTGACCAGCTATGTTGTCAAGGTATTATAGCTTTGTGTTTCCCCAAGAGTTTGAAATGCTGAGTTTGGAAGTTTTAATTAAATATTTACAGATATCTACCTATTCCGATATTGTTTCGTGATATCATTACCACACTAGAGAGTGGTGAGGGAGTGTGGAAATGTTGCGCCGATGCCTAGGAAATTTTGCTTGCAGTTCTGTCCTGGCAGAGGAATATTCCTTGCTCATGTTCTACTATAATCTCAACAAACGGCTCACTTGTCGAATCTTGGTTTGATCTTACTTTGCGTAGAGATCATTTAAATGATGTAGTGTTTCACACATAATGTTAACGTTCAATAATATATCATGTCTGAAGACGTGAATTGTGATCTATGGTTATCATAGGGCAAAGAATGCACACATTACGATATTATAATCATATATAATTAATAGAAAGCATATGTAGTCAAGTTTGACAATCTAAATTTCTGTGAATACTAAATAATAATACTTTAAAATAGGTTTTAAGTCAATTTTGATATCAGAGATATTTTCTTGAAAAATTTTATGAAAATCCTCTAAACGGCAAACAAACTACAGAATTCCTCCACACAATAACTTAATAATAATAATAGAGCTATCGTTATTGATATGTATTCAGTATTAAAATCTGGATTATACAAATATTTCTTTAATTTTGGCAGTCCACTACGTATAGCAGACAAAATTATGATGACGACAACAACTAATTTATATCAGTCATCATAGTGTGGCTACTCTTTTTATATAACATTCGTATAAGCAGCAAACACACTCGTTCCCATCATTTAAACTGGATCAGCAAAAAAACAAAAACAACACAAAATTATACCAGGAAACTATGTAACCCATCCATCTATCTAGGATTTCTGTCTGTCTGTCTATCTATCCATTCTTATTCAACAAACAAATCCCCAATATGTGTGTGCATGCTGTATTCCTTATGGTTGTATGGGTAACATATGTGATGTGGCAAATCTCTTGTGATGCTCGACATTGGATCTAAATCAAATTATTTTAATAAAACAAAAACACACAAATCGTTTTGCATAACTACTACAGCTATAACACAACATAAAACATATGGGTTTTCTTTATTAATGAGTTTATATTAAATGCTTAGAATGTTAGAGACATATACACAAAAAATATTCTATCCATCTAGAAATTAGATATATAACCTTATAATACGTTTACATTGTACCGGATTTCGTTAACCCAGTGGGTTTGAATTGTCAATTCTAATGTAAATACCGTTTTAAATATTTAGATTAGATAAAAAGGAAACCCGATTACAAATCTATCAGTGGTATAATGTTATGATATTAATTTTGTGGAATGATTGGTCAAAAATGAATCCAATATCGAAAATGTAACTAACTTCTAAGAGATGACATCTACTTACAATGCGATAATAAAAAGTAGGCTAAAATTACATTACAACTCATAAAAATCGGTTGAAACCAATTTGAAATGTTGTGAATAAAGATATCCTCCACTTGTAATTTTATACATTTTTAACAGATACACTGCGTCAGAGTCTACGTGTTTTATTGAATATTTGTTGTCTTTTATGACACCATATGATTGAGAATATATTATTTTGTGGCATCATACAATTCAAGGTCGATTTAGACATTTTGACTTGTGAAACCCGCGACAAAGGTCGGCTTATAATATAAATATTTACCATTTTACCCATAAAAAAATTGGTCACTATAAACCGGTTCAAAGAGTAAAGATTCTCGTTCTGGAATACCCGTATCTTCCGATTTTATGTATTTTGGATTCTCGTTCTGGAATACCGGTATCTTCCGATTTTATGTATTTTGGATGTTTCAGCATTATCTTAGACCTTATTGTTATAATTTGACATTTCATGTCGTTGGTCGGCAAAAATCGAATCTTGGTGATGATATGAGAAGTTCCCTTTGTACCTTAATTTTTTGGTACTGGTACCGATTGCTTAAATGTGCTATAAGGGGTGCCTATTCCGGACTTATAAGCAGGAGAGTATGGATTGTTTTTGAAAAACATAGGCTAATATTTAGGGAACCAAAAGAACCTACAATATCCTTATTTGTTTTCCTAATCTATAGAACGAAATTTTACACGGCAAAGGAATTTGGGTTACGAATCAGCTGGTATGCTGTGATCGGTCAAAATAGTCCAAGACTTTGTTTTGCCAAAACTTTGATGATAAAAATTCCAGATTTTGTTAAAAAATACGCTAAAAAAATGAAAGAAAGTAATTCGCTTATACCTATGAGATCTGTATTTCTTAGAAATTCATTATACCCTTCACCAAAGGGAGGAGTTATTAAATTTGTTTGCAATACCTCGTAATATTCCTTGAGATCACAGGGTAGCCCCCGAATAAAGGTATTTCCCAATATTCGGTATTTTGAATACGTTTTCCAACAGAATTGTTTGTAATTTGAGTTCTCTTGGAATAACACATATCCGTAGCAAAAACTATTAATAGTACCGTAACCCCAATACTCGGTATTTAGGGAATTTTGGATACTTTTCCAACCGAAATTACTGTAATTTCATATTTTGGGATTTCATTGTTTAACACATCTCCGTACCAAAAATTATATTATTAATATTGACTCAAAATTTCGGGATATCCCCCATATAACGGCAGCCCCAGTTTTCGGTATTCTAGGAATTTTGTACACGTTTTTAATCCGAAATCTCACTACCAAAAAATATCAATATTGATCTCCGTTTTATTATATTCATTCATCTTTTTTTCTCACGTATTTTTCGTTATGTTCAAGGCCCCATCATAACATGAGTTTTCTCCTAGGAGCCCCTATTAATATTAAATACTTGTTTACAGATGTACAGATAATTTTTTAACATCGAAAACGCTAGGAAATTTCAATGCGTCAAGGTGAAATAGAAAAATTGCAACAATTTTTGGATGAAACCAAAAAATACATAAAATTAAAAATCCAGAAAAACAAAGTGCCAAATCACTTTTTTAGTGCTAAACAAGTTTAAAAAGTACTAAATCAAGCAATAAATGTGATAAATTGGTAGTGCAAACAAATAATCTTTCAATTGTGTTATCGTGAACATCCCAATATTCTGCTTATTGATTGTCAATACGTAACCAATATTGAATTTGTCAGCAAATAACATATCCAACTGTTTTTAGGTTCTCGAAATTCTTACTCAAACGATCTAAATGTTCTAGATTTAGAGTTAGTTTTGGGGGCCATCTGCCTAGTCTCTGAGAGGTTTCATATCCTCATATCAGAGGATATGAAACCTCTGAAATGTCGATTTATGTGTAACTAAATCCGACAACGCTGACTCATGGACTCAATTCGATTAAAAAAAAGAAAGATGCACTTCATCATCATTGTTAAAATGTATTAAAGATGGAAATGACTAATATTGCACTGTAAATTCCATCACTATTCCAATTACACAAATTATTCCATTAAACATATTCCAATTACACAATTATTCAAGAAACATTTTATTTCTGCTCTTAAGATTACATTTATAGTAAATTTATTTATATTTTGTTGATTTTTATGATTTTACGCATACGATACATTCATACGTACGTACAAATATCGTGAAAAGAAAACGACAAATAGCCAACTGGTATTTGTTGTTGCTGTTGTATTTAAAAAATACAGGCGCGAAAAATTGAATTGGATATTTTTGTCTATACACAAAATATAGCATGCGCCACAATAATATGAGTCCATATTTCCATCCACTGAATAACCTTGAACAATTCCTTCAAAAGGAACAACAGACAGATGCACACAAAAGCACACACACACAGATGTAGAAAATGTGTTGCAATTAAGTTGGTAGGGTCATTGTACCACACCCCACACATAGTCAATCATTAAAAACGTATCAATTTTTGTAAACTTAAATTCTCACAGAAAAATTTTGGATGGCGTTTTTTGTGTGTGGTGAAATTCAAGCCTACAAAGCAAAAAATACGGACACAGACTTATTTGTACCACTTATGCAAATTGTGATGGTATTTGTGGGAGAAAAAACGCTAGAATGTGTGTAAACATTTGTTATATAGGTACATGTCGTAATTATGGTCACATGACATTCGAAATGGCCGTTTTGTGGTGTTTCATTCGCAGAAACTGTTGCTGCTCTCCAGTGCATAAAATTCACATTTTTTACTCTCCTTCAATGTCTTTCTCTCTCTCTATCTCCATGTACAAGTGTATGCTTATGCTAATACTCATCACTTGACTTTAACTAACTCTCTGTCTCATTAATGCTTTTCGTTCATTTGTTATGCACTGGCGCGCTCTTACGATGTCACTAAATGACATTTCGTTGTTGTTGTTTTTACTTCGAACTTACATGCGTTATAGGTCTCATAGGTCTCTTTCGGAATAACTGCAACATCCGTTTTAATTATGAAATTCCTTTTCTTCGAATGTGCCAGTTACTGGTCTTTCGCACTCTTTCTAGTGCTCTACCTCTCTCTCTCTCTCAAGATATATTTTTATATATATGTATATTTCTTACTTTATGGACAGTTGGAAAAAATCGTAATGATGACTTAATGCTAGTGATGGTGGTGGTGTTTTGGCATGGGGTTGAAATCCTTCTTACAGAAATCTCCTGCAGTCCAGAAATATTGACAAATGTTTCAAGTTTTCCGGACGTACACTTTGCCACATGAAACTTTAGATTAACTCCGTTTACGTTTCGAATGGGGAGGGAGGCTGACGGGTAAGCGCGTGTTGTCCAAAAAGCGGCAAGGCTTATAAATACTACGGCGCTACGATACACAATCAATTACAGTTACTTGACGTTTTAGTATTTTTTTGTTTCTGTTCTCTTTGGGTGTGAGAGAATGTGCGTGCGTGTGTGTATGTTTTATTTTATATCACTGAGGGGGTGGCTTGTGGGGAGTTTTGTACCACGCGGCCCGAAGTGTAACGGAATGAAAGGCTCGACTACGCGACACGTTCTACTACTACTACGATAACGACGACAATTGCAACAACAATACAAAAGACGATGATGACAAGAACAACATAGACGGCCACATTCGTTATGCGCTACTTTCCGTTCTCTGTTTGCATTGACGTTCTGCTCTGTCCTGTTCTTTTATGTTTTCATATGCCACAATAACGACAACGTCGTTGGCTACGACGACGGCGACGACTTCAACGATTTGATGTGATGATATGACGATGATGATGGTTGTGTTACAACCAAAGGAAGAATTGTGGTGTACAGAGATTTTCGTTGGAAAAAAACTTGGACTTTAGTATTTTTTTCATTTGTATTTTAGAAAAAAGAAAACATGCACTTTTCATAAAACTCCAAACACCAAATTGAATTTTCACAATTTTCCTCCAGCAAAACTAAATTTTTTTCTATGTCACAAAACTTCCACTTTTTATCATAAAATATTTCCAAAATAGAATTTTTTTTAAGGTGGATACCAAAAGAATCCTCCACCATAAGAGAAGACAATTTTCTATTTGTTTGTCAGCACAATTTCCTTTGGAATTTCAAAACTTTATTTACTTTTTATCCAAATGATTATTTCTTTTCGGTTTTCTTCCTCTAAATATCAAAACTTTTCAAATGCGTTCACACATAATTTGTGGTATTTTTTTGTATTAAATTATTTTTCTATTATTTTACTTTTCATTTAAATTTGGTATGGTCTTGACGCTTCACGAAAGACATCCACATTCGAAGAGTTCACGCACTAAACTGAGACCGTTTCGTTATATTTCGGCTACTACTCAATGTTGGCTCTTTGGCAATTCCTTTTTACCGTTGTTTTTCTTTCTGTCTTACTTTGCAACATAATGCCACCCCCAAGACACCCCCTTTCTGGCAGCAAGTGTTATTTTTACGGAGTTTAATTGTTCGGTATCCGGTTTATGTCTTAACTATTCGAAATGCGTTAACAGTTGTTTATTTTGGGATTATCATAAGGCTTAAATACTTTTATATTAGTTAGGTATGTAATTTTGGAATCGTTTGCATTAAATCTTATCTGTTTAGACTATATTTGAGGTTATGAATTCCACACACCATTAAAGGTGTTTACAAGGAGGGAACATCAAAATTAATTTGCAAATTCCATGTGGAATTTTGAAATCAGTACGATTTGAAAATAATCGTACTGAATAATGAAGCCGACGTATTATCTTTGCTCTGCAATCTCATTCACCTAAAACGAGAAAAATGTTGCAAAATTAAATTAATTGTAATAATTTTATTGTATTCATTGAAGAATCACATAAAAGATCTGAATCAGGAAGGATTAATACAGTAATACCTAAATGGTTACCTAAATGGTCGAAATTTTTGCAGTGACGCGCAATTACAATTTTAGAAAATATCACCAAAAATTTCGAAAAAAAATAAAAGGAAATAATTGATGTTATACAAAAAAAAACTATGGACAACTCCGAAATGAGAAATTGGAATGTTTTTAAAAATTGGGTATTCGCGCATCACATACATTCTAATTTTTCACTTCGAATTTTTATAAATCTATATATATAAAAATGGAGCAAGAAAAATGTATACTAACGCAATTAACCCTACGGTCAATAACCAAAAAATTATACGTAGATCAATAACCGTGGTACATTTGTACCCATCCAAAGATAGCTCTGTAATTCATTAAAAAATTGGACTATCGTGAGGTTTTTTGTTTTAAATTAGTCTATACGGACCTGATCTAGATGTAGATCAGACCCCTCTGCAAATTTTTGTAGCCCTAGACAACATGGGGCCATCAGGGCGACTCGTGGAAGTCAGAAACTACCTTGGTTTTCCTTTGGTATACAGGGACATTGGTACAGTCAGTAGTACCGATTTCTCTCACGTCTTCCTTCGGCTGTTTGCAATTGCATTGAGAAGTTGTTTACGAAGAAAATGTTGAGAAAAACATCAAAAAGTCGGGAAATTGGAATAATCGAACGTTGTGTTAGTTACATCGTTTATAACTCAAGAACGTCTATACCGATTTTGACAATTCAAAGGACTTATAAATCGTATGTGGTCAGAATAGGAAAATATGCAAACTAATTGTGAGATTCCGTCAAAACAAATATATTAAGTAATATTTACAATTTCCCAATTTTTGTATGGAGCTTTAAGGGGGGGTCCCCTCCAATTCTCGGGGTCAAAAAAATTTTTGACTTAATTCGAATATATGTACACTAATTCAAGAATGTCCCTACAAAATTTCAAGTGAAAATCTCAAGAACTCTTGAAGCGATATTGTGTCAGCATTGAGAAGGGTTCAAACTTTAAACGCGTTTTCCTCTAAACGAATGTCGGGCACGATAACTCAAAAACTAATAATCTGATCTATTCCAAATTTTTACACGTTTCTCCGTGAGTGTATAGCTATCGTATGAACTAGGATAAAGCCAATCGGTGAAGAACTTCCTTATTTTTAACTTGGTTTGTGGTCAAAAATCGGCGATTTTCCAAAAATATTTTTTTTTAATGTCCGCCATTTTGTTAATTTTAGAGCGAAGTCAATACGAGAGCCAGACATCTTCAAATATATATATGCAAAGTTACATACCTTAACAGGCATTGGTATTGATTTACCAGCCCTTTGAAAATCTTGAAAAATTAAAATCGTGAATGGGTCGGTTCCCTTAATGTTTAAATAAATTTTTGGTTTTTAAGACGTATGTTTTTTTGAGTTAGTAAAAACAAAACTTCTAATTTCATAAAATTTGTGTATGTTCTAATACTAATAATGCGATCATTACAACATTTCACGATTTAGAGTTAAGATATAAAGCAGGCATCATCAACCTTGGCCAAACTCTTCCCCCATAACTGTCAAAAACTATTTATAGAATATATAGCAAACATATAGAAATCTATAACGGCAATCTAAAAACTAATTAACAATTTGTTTAAAAATTATATATACCTATAACTGAGCAGAAACCACTAAATTTATATGCCAAATATAAAATTTTTCGAGTTATATACTGATTTAAAAAAAAAAGTCAAAAGGACAATTCGACATGAGCAAAATGATATTGAAATTAAGAATCCATCAAGAAGGGACAAATAAGATAGTGTAAAAACGTTGGAGCAATAACAAAACATGATCTTCTATTGAACAAATAAAAATAAAAACATTTGGTGAAATAAGTTCTACCAAATTATAAACTTTTATGTGCTTGGGCCTGCATTGGGCTACTAGTTAATACCTTTTATTGACATAAACTTAGTGAATAATGTTTTTTTACCAACCTTATATTAATGCAATATTAACAAGGCAAAACAACGTTTGCCGGGTCAGCTATTTATTAATAAAAATAAAAAAAATCTTCAAAAATAACATTAAGATTATTACAAAAACATTTATTTGTAATATTCGCCCATGTGACATGTTCCGAAAGTTTTTAAATTCCCATACTTTTTTAAATTCCCATGTTGTGCAAAATGGTGTGCTCAATTTCGAGCGAAAGTGCGGCTCGAAAGCATAGCTGTGTTCAATAGGTTACGAAATGTGTTCAATAAAAAAAAATATGTTTCATTGGAATTTGCAATTTGTTTAACAACAAAATTAAGAAAAAATATGCCTGCTGGCTTATTAATTGCCCTGGTTTCTACCAAAAAAAGTCTAATGATACTGGAACGTGTTAAAATAAGCATTTATGGATATTTTGAGAGATGTTGGTCCTTTCATACACAAGTTAAAATTCCTGGCTGTTGGGGGATTTCAAAGGGTAGTGGCAAATGATTTAAAAATAAGTGGCACAACAATGTGTAAAATATTGTGAAAGTCCTAGAAGACAACGTGTATATGATATCCTTCAGCGTTCCACTTGTAGGTGGAACATTTCGTTTTCAATCCACAAGGCTATATGTTAATATCAAATTTGGGAAAATGTTTCACATTACAATATCCTGAATAGATGAATAAACAAACAGATCCTTGTGAAGAATCTAAGGAAAGTTGGAGAACACATACAAAAGATGCTAATATCTACAATATCCTGTAGATATTGGAGAACAATTGAGATGCAATCGGGCGAAATTAAATGTGCTATCTAGATAGATATTTGAACCAATTGAAAAAATCCCATACACATACCATTCTGAAATCAATGAAAAATTACATGTCAAACGGACAGACACACATGGATCTTATTGAACAACCGTTGCATACAATCTTTTTTTCTTGTTATCACTCAATATTCAATTTAATACTCTCTGCCAAATTTCGTTTAAATCGAACAAACATAGGTCCTTCGGTGCACCGTCGAACGAAAATATATATAAAAAATGTATCAAAATCTGAACCGATTTCCACAATCCTTATCAGTCATAATTTTTTCCTCAATTGCATTCGCTATCCAAAATGTTGTCAATGGGACAAATATTGGGAGTTTGGTGTATCATTCCTAAAAAATCGTAAGAAACTATTTATGGGAGGTATATCTAAATCTAAACGGATTTTAACAAAACTTTGCAGACATCAGTCTGGACCTAATTCAGTAATTTGTGCAAAATTTTGTCCCGATCGGACAAATATTGTTAGTTTTGTGCATCATTCACATAAAATCGGACGAAACTATATATGGGAGCTATATCTAATTCTGAATCGATTCCAACAAAACTTAGCATACATAAGAATGGACCTGATTCAATGCGCTGTGCAAAATTTTGTCAAAATCGGACAAATTTTGGGAGTTTGGTGCATCACTCACAAAAAATCGAAGGACACTATATATGGGAGCTATATCTAAACAGCTTTCTTTTTTGATGAGCTCTGCGGTAAACTTTTTTTACTGTAGTCACAGCTTTCTTCAGAGATCTTTTTGATTTATAAGACCCAATTTGAAAATTCGAAGAGATTTTTCCCAGATAAATTCTTCTTTTGACGCTCTCTATCTCTATTCATTTTTCCTACAAACGCGTCATTATCCATCACCTTTTTCTTGTTATCCCGACGTTTCTTATCTCTTTCTTTTTCCAGATGTTTTTTAATTTAGTTGGATCTTTTTTCAACTCAAACCGAAAATTTTGCATTCTATTTTTGAATTCCATAGCAGAAATTGTGATATTGATATTTGAATTTAATTAAAAATTGTCCTCGATTTTTGTGTAACGGGTATGACAGATCTTATGATGCAAGTACTAGCTTAAATATTAAAATGATACTGAAACCTTTTTATTCATTTTATTCAGTATAACTCTGACCTAACATGCGCAAAATATATTATATAAATATCCACATAAAATTATACTTTTTATATATTTACCGTAACGGATGTGACAAACGAGACCTTCGTGGTACAAAGACATTTACGGGCAATAAATATTTCCAATAAATTACGAGTTTGCACTAAACAATATTTAAATATGTTTACTTTCATGTGGCCAAAAGTCAAATATCGTAAAAGCAAAAAAATATGTCGAAAAAAGTGTTGCGAGTTTGTCAATAAATGTAGTGCAGCCAACAATTTCATGATACACCATGGAAATGTATTCTTACTAAAAAATCTGGTCCTAAATTTTATAAACTCTTCGTGGATATTTAAAATTATACTGTTCGTGATATCAGTTATGGTATTTTATTTATTTATTTTTTTATTTATTTTTTTTTCGCTAAAATCTATTATTCATTTTTAAATGAGCTGGGGTAAGTTTACGTGGAATCACCCATATGTGAACCGATTCCAACAAAACTTCGCATACATAAGTATGCGCTGTGCAAAATTTTGTCACAATCGGATAAATTTTGGGTGTTTGGTGCATCATTTACATAAAATTGGACGAAGCTATATATGGGAGCTATATTTAAATCTGAACCGATTTTCCCCAATAGGGTTCGTCCTTGGGCCAAATAAGTGAACTGTGCCAAATTTCATCCAAATCGGATCGTAAACACGACCTGTACTTTGTTCACAAAAATACATGGACGGACGGACGGACAGACTCAGAATGTGATTCTAAGCATAATATTTATACCACAGTGGATAATGACTAAACAAAAAACATTAAAATTTATAAAATTTAAATTAAAACAAAACAAGAGTTAGACATTTTCTGTGTAGTTAAATTTTTCTGTATAAAACAGACAAAGAAACAAAATTTGAAAACTTAAAACAATTTAAATTTTTGAATTGTTTATAACTTAATTAAAAATTGACATTAACTCTTACAATACAAAAAAATACATGCATAACATGCATTACTAAAAAATTATTAATTTTTTCATTAGTTTCCAACAACAACAAAATAACAACTATATATTAAATAAACATTTTTTTCTGTATCTATCATAAAACAACAGCAACAACAATAATAATATTAAATAAATAAAGAAATTATTAAAAACAAAAAAATATGCAAATGACATAGAAAAGTTGAGAGAATAATTTTTATTACACTCTGAAGGGCTGGCTAGTAGCTTTCCCAAAAATTCCACTGCATTTCAGATACGATAATATCGTCGATATACGATACCGACGATTTTTTCATTTTTTTCCTATAAAATTCATAAACAATTTTATCGAAAATGTTGGATAAGGTTGGTGTCTTGACTATAATTACGGATAATAAAAATTTTCGCGGAAAATTTTTTTATCCGTGAACAAAAAACATTGTTTTTTTGTTTTTCCATCCAATTTTCGCGGAAATCAATCAACAAAATCAAAAAAATAATCAAAAATCATTAATTTTGGAAAAAATTTTGATGAAAATTAATAGTATAACAGTTTTATAACAGTATAACAGTTAACGGTGCTATAATTGTGAAAGTGTCATAAACTGTTATACGCTTAGCGATTCACATGTATGTAATAAATAAAGATTTGTAGTAGAACTGGTTTGTGTGTCCATTACTAAATCGCCAATACACCAACCCAACAATACGATGCAAAAACATAGAAGCATATTGAAATCCACATTTGTCAATAGATGGCGTTTGCTATGAGGTTTTCCCTCTTTATGTACTGGCCGTCTTCCGACTGCGACACCGCAAATTGCACTGTGACCATTTCAGCATTTTTACACCTAATTGAGCATTTAATTTTGTCATTTAGCCGCAAAATTTTCTTTTAGCATTTTTTTAAAACTTTTTTAACTTACTACGCTAGCATTATTTCCTTCACAAAATTTCTGGTACGTTTACATTGTACCAGATTTGGTTAACCCAGCGGTTAAATTGTCAATTCCATTGTATATATATAAATCCTCAGTTAAAAGTTCTAATGTAAATGCCTTTTTATAGATTTTACAATAACCTAACTATATTTATTGTCTTCCACCTTAAAAAGTTTACAAATTCGATTTAAAAGGGAAATACTTGTTAGCTAACTCAATTCATTTGTATATGACAAACATTTAACAATGACAAACATTTATGTCTGCTTTTCCACAGGCAGATTTTTATTTGGCAAATACTGAGTTTGTAGGCGAGAGGGGTGCGAGGAAGAAAAACAAAAATTTGCCTGTTCAGAATTTGCCGCACACGCAAATTCTGCTTTGCTCTGTTCGTTGAAAACAATTTTGTTGACATTTCCTTTTGAACCTATTCGCTTTACTGACACACGGCCGGCTTTTGTTTACAAACCTGTTGTTTTAATTTGTGCAAGTGAAATTTAATTTTTTATATTTGCAATTTATATAATAAAATATATAAAAAATAAATAAAATATTAAAAAATCTTTAAAATGCAAACACTTTTGACGTTTTTTTTCTTTCTTTTGTACTTTGGTTCGCAAATTTGGCAAAGAAAAATTTGGTAATGGAAAAGCAAGCGAAAATTTCAAAAGAGAAAACAAAACATTTGCCAAATAAAAATCTGCCTGTGGAAAAGCAGACTAAGTAGTGTTTAAAATAAATCTGGCATCACCGCTATTGAGTTTGATACCTAAAATTGATTTAAAGAAAAAAATGTGAATAACAAACAAGTGAAAAAGATGTTAAAATTTATTTTCACCATAGACACGCGTGGTATGATTTTGGGAAGTATGGGTAAAATTATATATATATTAAAATATATATATAATATCCAAAATACTAAATTTGGTTGAAAAACGTGCTCAAACTCCCCACAGTACCGAATATGTGTCTGGGTACCCCTTTATGGGACGACTCGTAAACGTGGACCAATATTGATCATTGTAAGAAGATTTGTCACACAATGAAAAACTAAGGTATCAAACTACAGCCTTTAAGGCTGGCAAACCTGTGAAATATTTGGTCTGTTCCCTCACTGCAAGAATATATTTTTTCAAAATAAAACTTTTTTCCATAAAATAATATTAAAATAATATTTATATTGTTGTTCATTTTAAACTCAACAGATGGCGCTACTTTACTGAAACTCTATGAGTTAACTTGAAAATATATCCATTCTATTACAAAAAACAAAATCAACCCTGCCTATAGATTTGACATTTGACACAGTACGAACAGCTGTTTCTGATAGCTGTCATTCCATTGGTGAGGTTGGTAGTCTGGTTGTTTTTCTCCCGAAAAAATTAGAAACTTACATTTGTTTTATTTTCCCCAGAGAATATTGCAAACAAACATGGCTTCGGAAACAGGTGGAGTGAAACCTATGACCATCGCCGGCCGTATGGTCCGTGAACGCGAGCGTTTGGTTGGCATGAGCGACCAAGAACGCGCCTGGCGTAAGCAATGGCTCAAAGATTTGGAATTGCACCATGGACCACGTCAAGTTCCAGCCTTGGAAAAGGAATTAATGAATCCCATTAAGCGTGCCTACAGAGCACCTTTGGATGCAGTTCACAAAGCTTTGACTCCTGTTTTGGTATGTTGTGTTAATGCATTTAATTTGTAGTCGTCCTCTTCTGTCAAATGATATAGAATTATGTAATGCGTTTGCAACCCAAATTATTTTGGATATTTATTGGCATTTGTTTGGAAAACTGAAAAACTAATCTTATTTTGAAATATTTCCATTCAGGGATTCCAACGTGCCTGGACTATTCGCTTCTGGACCGGCAAAGTTGCTCTTTTCTCAACATTTGTCTTGGCCGCCCATTACTATTTCAAATACAATCGCAATGTAAGTATAGCAACAACAACAAACGAAGAGGTGTGTTTGTAATTGTTTGCCTTTTATACAACTTAATTAGGATTGGACTCGTAAAGGTGGCTGGCGCGTAATTACATCCCGCAAAGCTTGCAATCCCGGCGATGAAGGTTTTCCCAGGCTGTCCGATAGAACACAGCCTTCTGATTATGCTGCCCGCGGATTTAAACAATCGCCCATATAAAATGTGTTTAAAATGCTTTTATGTGCCGTGTAAATGCTTGGCATTTTCCTCAAAATTATAAACAAAAACATTTTATTTATAAGTGAATAGAGAATTATTTCAATACAGAACGGTTAATGAAAAATACCATAAATCGAACATTTCTTCTGCAATTTTTTTTCTCAAATAATGCCGTGAGTTTTATGCTGATCTAAGTTAAAAATATTTAACCTTTTTTTTTGTTATTTTTTCACCTACTTCATTTCTGGGTAATTATTACAATTTCTTTTACGCTGAACATTTCTCTGTCTTTTGTAATTCAGTTCATACTAAGTAGACGTTGGAAATTGTTGTTATTCGCATAACGTGAAAGTATTACATTAACGGTTGTTGTTGTGTTTCAATGACTAGACCCCATGTTTAAACAAAAATCCGATTTGATAACAGTGAAAACATATATTTAAGTGCATTAATGCTAAATATATATTTTTGTTGAACATAATATTACAAATGATTTAAAATCAGTGGTATTACATACTAAACATTTGAATTGACAATGTGTTTATGTAGCTTATCGCATTATTATCGACAACAAATACGCAACGAAACGACGAATTCGGAATCTGTGCCGTTTTATCTATTCTTAAGTAATTCTAATTTGTTACAATTTTTTGTGCAGATCAATAGCATTTTGAAATGTTTATTTTTTAGACAAGAGCAAGCGTGAAAAAATGATTTTAGAATACATACACCATTAAAATTTGGGGTACAAATTAAGCGTACATCAGCGTAATTAGAAACTGAAATTACAAGATTTTTATGGCAACTTAATGAAAGAAGTAAAAAATTAAAATACTATAGCTCGTATTAGCATTTCTTTGTGTGTTCAACGTAATAAGAAACTGGCTTGATGGTGCCATTATTCCAAGGTAGACTATATCTGGTGAATAAAATTTGTTCTTGTAGAGCCCATCTTCCACCAAAGCAATTTAAATTTTTTGTATTTGTCATTCCGTTTATAGCACCCCGAAATCAGAGTGTAAATATTAAATATCTCCATTTAACTCTACGATCCAAATTTAAATATTTATTTTTAAATATCCAAATTTAAAATTTAAATATTTCCAAAAGAATTTTATGTAATAAGGACAGTTTGTTTTATAGGGTAAGTACCAGTTGACGCATTTTATGGATGTTTTTGTTGTTGTAAGAGTTTGGCTGTCTAGTTTTCCCTGAAATAATTCAACGCTGTTTATTTGAACATGTGTACTATAGGTTTGGGGATGCGGGGTTGAATGTGAATGATGTATGTGTGGGAGGATGTGGTAAATTGAGTTTGGTTATTGTATTATGTGTGGATTGAAGGGATTGATGGGAAGGGTGATAAAATGTTATGTTGGGAGCTGCAATAAATTCGCCACTTCTCAGCCACAGATCAATCGGACGAAGATCCGTGGGCTGGAGTGGGCATGAATATAGATGACCTGTATCATGCGGGCCCTGCCTGCAAGTGGGATAAATAAATGTCTTCGACCCCTGTGACACTCGCTTGATACACATTCAGGTTAACTGACCATCCTGACCGAAGCTACGCTAATATGGTTCTGGCCAGAGATGGCTTTGAGCACCTTGTCTCGCTTCTGGACTTTTATTTTATTTTTCCACTACATCTACTCCAGAGGCAATGATCGAGCAGTCGAGTGCCTTATTTTATCTACACTGTATCGAAGTTCATATTTTGGATGCATAGAAGAGCTGAAGCTAGTTTTAATATGGAGATGGAAGCTGATGGGAGTCTTTGTAGACGAGTTGGAGTTTTTTATAGACAAAAGTCTTTATATATACGGGATGAAGGCAGCCGAGCTGTCCTTATAGACGAACTGAAGTGAATCTTTAAAGACGAGCTGATGCGAGTCTTTATAGAAGAGTTGAATGGAGTTTCTGTAGACGAGCTGAAGGGAGTTTATAGTCAAACTAAAACGAGTCCTTATACGAACTGAATGTCTTCTTCTGTGGGGAGTATAAGGTATTTGTCAACGAAATAAAGAGAGTCTTTTGTATACAGAATATAGTCTTTACAGACGATCTGAAGGGAGTTATTATAATTCAAATAAAGCTGGTGGTATTTATTTACGATCTGAATGTAGTCATCGTTTGTAGGCAGTATCATCGTATCTATATACAGGGTGAATGGAGTCTTTATAGACGAGCTGAAGGGAGTCTTTATATACGAGTTAAATGGAAGTTTTTATAGACGAGCTGAAGGAAGACTTTATATACCAGCTGAAGTCTTTATAGGCGAGCTGAAGTAAAATGAGTTTTTGTAGATGAACTGCAGAGATTTATATAAATTAAAACAAGTATCTGTATACAAACTGAATGTAGTATCCTTCAGTAGGGAGTATAAAGTATTTATCGACGAAATAATGAGATGAAAGAAGAGCTGTAGTGAGTCTTTATAGGAGAGCTGTAGTGAGCGATTGTGGCGAGATTTTAAGATAGAATGTCAAAATTTATCTATTTCATTGACTGTCAAATATTAACCGATCATCATGAAAACATACCTACTTATTCGTTGGCCAGATTTTAAGATACGATGTAAAAATTTATTTATTTCATTAGCTGTCAAATATAAACCGATCATCATGAAAACATACCTACTTATTCGTTGGCTGATGCCCTTCTACGTATAACTTCGTGGTTTTCAGGGTGAAGTCTTCTTAGGCAGGAACCGAATCTACATTCAAAATATCCAGAATTCAACAATGGAAATTATTGAAAGATGTCGACACAGAAAATTTGTTTTCTGAAGATAATTGTTTTCAATCGACATTTAAGTCGGGTCGTGATAATTAGATTAAAATTATAATGGACCGACGGACACATGACTAGGAACGATTCTGATAGTTGAGAGATGATAAACGATATACAAAAAGGATATAGAATCAATATATCGTGCAGCTGCAAACTCTTGTGGCAACATATGCTTATAACATAGAGGTGTAGGGCATAAAAACATTTGGTTCTAATTGGTTCAAGGTTTATTCCAAGGTAAGGTTAACAGGCATGCGAATTCATGCCTTAGTCTTCTCTTCTCGCGAAATACCTACCAGAACAGGATAAAAACCCAAAATATCTTTCAGGAAAACGTAATGATAGTAATGTGCACATATATATTGGTTCGAATCATTGCCCAAATATCAGGTCATCCAAAAGGCGAATTCGTTCAAAAGTACAACACTGCACCTACATATATTGTCAAAAGACCCGGCACACGTTGTTTTGCCTTATCAGAATTGCATCAATATAGAGTTGGTAAAATTTGACGAATTCATGGAAAATATATTTCACAAACTATTTACCAAACAATCACAAACTATTTACCACAGTTAAAAAATGCATAACATTTTCCTCATGACGGTAAACCTTCATTTTCTGATACTCCATTATATTAAGTAATACAGTAGATATCGGATATAAGAAACTCAAAAAAATCCGGAGATTTATTTTTTATATGCGTTTTTTCTTATATGGAATTATAGGATATAAGAAAGTATAAGCTCGGTGTTTTTGATAATCTTTCTTATATGCGATTTTTTCTTATATGAGATGTGCTTATATCCGATATCTACTGTATTGTTGTTGTTTAATATTAAATTATATCACCAAACATTTTTCAGGAGAAGGTCAAGTTTTGATCTAACTACTCTTATCTCAAAATATAATTAAGTATTTTCATATTTTCCTATTTTGTGATCAAGATACGAAGATAAGAAAAATTTCAATAATACCTTCCATAACTAGCTAAATTGTAGAGGTATTGAGCGAATATTGAATATTTTTTATGGACCTAACAACGTATGTATATGTATTGACATTTTGTCACAAATAAAGCTGGTTTTGTTTCCTATTTAGAAGACGATCAAGTTTTAGACAATGATTCAGATATCGTGTGGATATATGCCATGAGTTGGTTTTATAACGTTGGCTCACCATTATTTGGCGTTTTTAAACCTCTTTATCCATATGCATATTTTGGCATGGTCCGGTTTTAGGTACTTTGAAAGTAGTAACAAATACTCTATAAATTGCCTCTAATTCGGTATTTCATTGTCGGTATAGTATCACTTTATGGTATATGGCCCACATTGTCTACCATTGCAAATCGGTACACCCGTTCCTTAAAGATACGTTTTTTTTCTCAAAATTTTCATTCATAAAATCCTTCCCACTTCAATTACAGATAACTGAAAAAATTGGATTCAAATAGGACCCATCATATCATCTTACATAATTTTTGTAAGTTGATTCAAATTAATTCTATTTACTAACTTATAAATTATACTTTTTTCGCCTGACTCCCACACGCTTTTCACGAAAACAGGTTATGTATGAATCGGTGTCGGAATACTTAACGTCGGCACACGTCGATTAAGTACCCAATCTTTAATCGGGCTATATATCGTACCATATATCGGACGAACTTAAAATTAAACAGAAGCACTCATCACGTCCATAGAGAATACAAAAGGTTTGGTCAAAATCGGTGCAGTAGTTCTTGAGTTACGGTGCAAAAACAGAAAAATACTAAATATTGCGATTACGAACATGCACGTAATTTATATATATATATATATATATAGATTTTTATTCCTTTAAATGAATTTTTAATTCGAGTTTTTGTTAATTTGTATAAATATTTGTTGAAAATTTTCTGTCCCATTATTATCTCTACTTTTTATACAAAGGCTGAATTTTGCCTATTTTGGGTTTACAGTACAAATTTTTGCCAATTGAAATAGATTTTACAGATTTTTTTTTTATTTTTTCATCAGAAAATAATTTATCGGACTTAATTTGCTATCACGTAGTTGTTTTTTGTAAGCAGTATGTCAGGGAGTAATTTAAAAAGAAAAATAAAAGGAGTAATAAATTACTCATATTTTTTGCAGAAATGGGTTCCATTAAGCTATTATATGTTGACTAGCAAAGTGCCCGCTACTTTGTAAGCGGAAAGGGAATAAAAAAATCATATGGAAATCGTGAATACTGTATAATTTCTTGTACTATAGTTCTGCATTCCACCTCTTTTCCTACATCTAA